AAGACAATGATCAAGTGATTTGTTTCCTGCCATCTGTCTCCAGCCTCTGACAAACAGAGGCCAAGGACACCATTTTATCCCCTGGCTAATAGCCTTTTATGGATCTAACCTCCATGAAATTGTGTAGCTTCTCTTTAAACTTTATTATAGTCCTAGCCTTCACAGCCTCCTCTAGCAAGGAGTTCCACAGGTTGACTACATGCTGTGTGAAGAAGAACTTTCGCGTATTAGTTTTAAACCTGTGGTCTCCAGGATCGAGGGTGAATTGATGCTGAGCATGTCTGCTTTGCATAAGATGAAAGCTCTTTGAGGGTGGGGCGTTATATCAGCTGGCTAACTGTGGCTGCTTTACTGCTGGTGCTTTACCATCAGTGGAGCAATGCTGATTTACACCAGCTGAGGATCTGACTCTCAGGCAGCAGGTTGAGATGCTCAAAATAATTCCTGGCCAAGAGAAGAAAACATTGTGAGTTTGTGTGCAAGGGGCCAACATTCAGAATAACAGACACTTGTGCTTCCTTCGTATCGGTGTTTCTTTCTTCATCACTGAAACTGGATATTTACTCCTACCTCCACAGTCTCAGGAGAACAGTCTCGTCACATTTGTATAAGCCCTCTCAAGGTAGAGTACAAGCAATAGGATTTACTGAGACACAGAGACGCGGTAACCTTGGAACAAAGTCTTCCAGGACTGCAGAGGCTGCTTTGCTTCTTGCCAGAACTATCTGATTTCCTTCCTCCTCTCAGAGATGTCGTAACAAACATGGAGCCTCTACCGGTGTCTGACCATGATTCTCTCTTAGGGTGCTGCTTTCCTCACATACTTAGGTGCTGACCTCTCCTGCCTGCAAGTAACCCCTTGCCTCCCACCTATCTTTTGCTCAACCGCCATCACACAGAAATTGTTCCTGAAATTGATCGGACCATTAGGTAGCATCACAAACCTCTTTCTTCATAACGACACCACACCTTTTGTGCAGAGAGAAGGTTCGCATGGCGGAGCGCTTCCTGTGTGTTCTCCCGTCTAGCCCTCTCCTCTCACTGTCGCTTCCTCCTGGAAAAGCATGTTCCTGTTCTGTGCTCAGTCAGCTACACAGATCCACATGCATCCCAGAATTCTCTGTGCTGGCTGCAACTGTGCGTTGGAAAGAGATGCCGCAGCAGCACACAGCTGATTGTAAATCACAACCATGTCTCAGGCCAAAGGTGCCCACGTCTGAGCTGAAGCAGGGAAGATACCCCTTTGGCCTTTGGAGGCACGGGGAAGAGCCAAGGACACAGAAGCTCTGCAGCCAGAGAAGGGATTAAAAAAACTTATCTGCTGGTGTAGGACAAAAGCAGTCTTAGTGCTATTCCGGTTAGCATCTCAGATACAGTGTTCAGAGAGCTCCTATTTGGTCTAGCTTAGCTTACCCGAAGGATAGAATTCCTTTAATACCCTGCCACACAGATCAATAGATGCCACCTTTGTAGTCTGGTGGTATTTATAGAGCACCAATGGATCGAGGGTCTAGATGGATGCCAGGTCATGATGGATTGCTGGATAGGTAGAAATCCCCCAACTTGTGACTAGTTCTACTCCTGAATTTCATAAGTGTCCTCTATAGCGGCCTCCAAACAGTTACAACATCAGGCACTGGTTACTCCAGTAAATCTTTTGTGCCCAGAATGTGATGTTACCCAGAAGCATGGACTTTCTAATGTGCTAGAGGATACTTGACCCCAGGAAGTGCGCCACCCCTTCCCCAAAGTCCCACCCTGCCCCACTTCTTCCTGCCCCATTCCACCCCCTCCCAAGCATTCCCGGCCTTCACGTCTACCCCTCACCTGCATGCCACAGAACAGCTGTTTGAAGTGGGTAAGAGGGAGGGGGAAGTTCTGATCAGCCGGTTCGGCAAGAGGCATTGCAGGTGAGGGAGGAGCTGACTGGGAGGCTGCCTTTTTCCTATGAGTTCTCCAGCCCCGGAGCACCCACGGACTCAGCACCTAGGATATCAACTTCTCCTGGACCCACGCACCCGCTTAATTCAAGGGCAGATTTCTCTCTTTCTCTCTTTCTCTCTTTCTCTCTTTCTTTCTCTCTCACCCTCACCACCACTTGGTTTTTCTTCTTGCTGCTCTTTCTACATTTTATAGCCCTTTAGACCAGAGACTTTGAATGGAGGAAGGGTTTTTTCCCCCACTTCTGCCAGAAGATGATTAATCCAGTTATTCTAAAGAAAATCCTGCAATAGCAGCAGGTTCAGGCAGCATGCAGAATGAAGCACACATGCAAATTTGCCATCTCACGGTGCATTTATAACTAGGGCACAGATCGGGAGAAATAAGCTGCATATTTTATCAGGCCTTCAAGGTTTGATGGTGCATTAACTGCCTTGTAAACCTCATGAAACTCAGGGATGGCAAACACAAGCTGTGGAGTTTTTTTCTAACTGCATGATTGGAACAGCTCCCTCTTACCCTGTAAGTATGCAAATTTGCCATCTCACGGTGCATTTATAACTAGGGCACAGATCGGGAGAAATAAGCTGCATATTTTATCAGGCCTTCAAGGTTTGATGGTGCATTAACTGCCTTGTAAACCTCATGAAACTCAGGGATGGCAAACACAAGCTGTGGAGTTTTTTTCTAACTGCATGATTGGAACAGCTCCCTCTTACCCTGTAAGTAGCAGTATATAATATATGAGAACATTTCAGACTTCATTTAAAAAAAAGTAATTGAAGCCATTAAATGGATGCGTAACTATAAAATTCATGTTTAAAATTATAATCACTTATCTGCATTAGAAAATTATTAAATCTCGATGGATTTTTAAAAAATCTGATTTGCTTTACCCCATTGATAGCACTTACCTATATTTTACAACCTTGTGAGAAGGTGTGTTGTGTTGCCCTCTAGTGGCTGGCTCACAGAAACGATAGCAGCCTGCTTCTGCTGCCAGCTGATGGAGAGATTCTTTTAACTCAAGGGGTAGAAGTTGTGTTCAAGTGCTGATAGTTCACATTCTGCTGATGGGGGTTATTTCACTTGCTTTTTGCATTTCACTTAGCTTAAATAATGAAACTAAGCTGACTGTTTTCACATTTTATCAGTTTCATTTTCTGACTCTTCTAGCTAGCAGTTCCTTTAGTGCAAAGGAAGAAAATGTTTTTGTTGTTATAATTTATTTCATGCAAGCATTTCTGTTCATATTAGATCAAATATATTTGCTGACAGCAATAGTAGGCTGTTGTCTCCTATGCATCTCACAGCCCAGACAGCCAAACTTCTCTGCAATTCCTTGGGGTTCTCAAGCCACAAAACAGCTATGGCTGCGACACATTCTGGATTTGTTTTATTTTCTCCTTCCTCTGATGCGCCAGAGATGACCTGGGCTGGAGATGGGACTCTGGAGAGAATGGGGCCAGTGTTCTGAGGCTGCACTGAAATCCTCTTTCTCTGGTGCTTGGCGGGTAATTCTGATTGCCACTTTCAGGGCGAGGAAGGAAAATTTCCCAATCAGATTGGAAGGGACTTGGGGTTTCTTTTTTGTCCTCTTCCTCTGCCACAGAGGGTACGGGTACTTGCTAAGATGATCTATATCTGTCTCAATTCCCTGCCATTCCAGAGGCTTTGGGCATTAAAGTACTTTAGTTTCTTTTGCTCTCTGCCCATGCCACACAATAGTCTCTGAGGGCTGTTATATTTTAGTCTAGTCCAGGTGAGTACGGAGGAACTGGATGGGTTGCATGGATGGGCGTTTGATGTGCAGATCAGATGAGATGATCTGCTGTTATGCTCTGGCTTTCAGCTCTGTGCTGCTCCCCCACACTGCCTCACTCCACCCAAAGCCTCTTTGCAGAATTGCAGCCCATGCCATGTGGGAGGGGTGTGTCCTCTTGTATGGCCTCCCCAAACCCTGCCCCCACCTAGCATCTGGGGATTGCCACACACCTGGGATGGGGTAAAGGTGGGTGGGGATGCTAGCTTTGCCCCAATAAGGCATATAAAGCCTCTTCCTAAGAATAAATACATGGGGGGTGGGGAGTAAGTTCATAGCATCCCTCACCTCATGTTAAGCTTTGAAAGTTCAGGGCTGGTGGAAGTTGTGGAGACTGAAATTCTCTCCACAGCATTGGAGCAAGGAAAACTCCAGGCTCCAAAGTGGCCTGGATATGTGGTTAGGATGACGGACAAGGGACCAGCTCAGGGTCTCATAGAAGGACATCCTTATGCTGTCTGACCTCAGAGCTCTTAGTGTGAAGAACCATCAAAGGGAAAAACATGCCCGCGGGGTGGGGAACTGTGAGAACGGCCAAGGACCTCCATGGTCTGTAGAGCCTGGGAACAAAGTCATATTTTGCAAATGGGTAAACTGAGGCTGGGATAACAGAGTCTGGGAACTCTCCCTTGTGCCCCCACTTCTGATGGGGGGGGGGTGGGTGAGTGTCTCCAGCCCCTGACCCTGGAAAAGGAAGAATTGCTCTTTGTTCTGAGCGTGGCCCAAGGCTTGGTGACCACTGACTGCTCTTGAATGCAGGGTGGAATGCACCCTATGCAGATTCCCTGCACGAGGCCTGACACTGCCTCAGTGGGGCCTTGCCCTTACCCGGAGCCCCCTGCGTGGAGTGAAGTTACGCCCAGGAGGGAAATATCCTGGCTCATTGAAATCAGTGGCAGAAATCTCATTGACTTCAACAAGGCCAGGATTTCCCCTACAGGCAGAGCATAGGTTGGTCTCTCTGGCCCTGAGTGTTGCCGATTTTGCAGGGACACGTCCTTCAGGGCTGGGGATCCTTCTGCCAGAGGTGTGGTTTCTCCGCCCCCCTCTCCCTCAGGATCCAGCCTTTGGGGGCAGGCTGTTGACGATCTCTGCATTCTTTCCTCTTTAGAAAGCGGATTTGGCAGTGGCTGGCCTGACAATCACAGCTGAGCGGGAGAAGGTGATTGATTTCTCTAAACCTTTCATGACTTTGGGAATTAGCATTCTCTACCGAGTTCATATGGTAAGAGACTTATTTTATAACCGTGTACGTCATTGCAGTTATTTGCATGCAGATGCATATAGTTATACGGGAATAATGAATGATTCATACAAATACATCGGTGTTATTTAAACACAAATGTGATAGACTCCTCCCCTCTCCCAAGCTTTATCTCCCCTGTCCTCCCCTCACCCCCCGCACCTTGTTTCAGCTGCAGGGACTCCATGTAGAGAGAATTCCATTCCCGGTGCCCAATCCCACCGGAGCCCTCACTGGTTCCAGGAAGAGCTCAGTGCACAGAGAGCTGCATGATTTGGCTCCACCCAACTCAAAGGGTGCACCTCCCCTGCAGTAACACCTCCCCCACAACACCCCCAGCACTGTGTCTTGGTGTCTATATCAGCCGACTCTGGCTCGGGCAGCGAGGCTAAAACTAGCAGAGTAGACGCTTGGCGCTTCCGCTCTTAGACCACCCGCCTTGCCGAGTTTCAGAGCCCGGGTTACAGTCTGAGCGTGAGTCTCTACCAGCAATTGTTTGCCCCGGGGCATTAGCCCCGCAAGCCTGAATCAGCTGCCCTAGTCCAACTGTAGTCCTGCTGCGGCTCTTCTTAGCTGCTCCGAAGCTCATGAAGTCAATGGAAAGGCTCCCATTAGGGTCAGTGGGCTTTGGAGCCGATTTCAAATGGAGCAGGTGCACTAGCATTGCAAAGGCAGCAGCTTGTTGCTATGCAGCTGTACTACTTCCTGGCAGCATTTCATCGTGTTTCTGAAGATCAGCAGGATTGGGCCTGATTAGTAGTTGGATGGGAGAGCTCTACAGTTTGCCTGTCTAAAATAGACAGGAGTGCTGTACAGTAGGGACCAGTTCCACTCACCTGTGGGGTAAGATTGGATTTTACGTGAGGCACAGCTCAGTTCAGTCATTATTAGCGAGTCTGGCCCTCAGTGGAGGAGTGTCAATGGTGTCAGCAGGTGAGTTAGTGACTCAGATGACTCTATCTCTGTATTGATCCAATATCCCCAAAACCAGTGCTGCCACGGGGAGCTGTTTTTTGGATACAAATAGTACTCTGTATCATGCTTTTTCAGGCATAGAGCTCAAAGCCCTTTGTAAATGTGGGCAGATACTTTTGCCAGTTGATGGCCAGGAAACTAAGGCACAGCCAAGTGAAATGACTTATTGTGGAGCAGGCAGTCAACAGCAGCACTGGGAACAGAACCCCACCTCCAGCTCTTGCCAGTTAACGCTTCGGAGAGCCAGATGGAGTCAGTAGAGCTTCCCCAGGGTAACCGAGGACAGGCTGTGGCACTGAGGTTGTTTATAGCAAGATGCTCTAATAGACCCCGTCTGTGTTTTGATATGTGCTTTGTATGGCTCCGTGGGTGATAAGAAATACAGTCTCGATTACCCATCCGCTCAACAACAACAACAAGATAAAACAATTAAAGCTGCTTCTGTCCCTGTCCCTGCCCTGTCTCAACACACAGCAAAGATGCAGCATCCCACACGAACGTAAACAAGCGTGCACATACGTATCTGTGTGCCGGGTTGTCTCCTGCCAAGAACAAACAAGTAATTAAAATCTAGTTAAAATTCTATTTCCTCTTATACGTGCAGAAGGAAGGATGAATGAGTTAACCGATCAGACTGGATCAGATCCTTTCATGCGTTCCAAGATCAAATGCATGTAAATTCTCCTACCTTACAATGCATGCTTTCTGGATCCCCCAGCTCCTTCCATGGCCCGGTTGTGTGTCCGAGTATTTCAGCCTGTTTGGGTTCTGGTGGTTTTTGTTTTCTCTCTCTTCCTCACACACATTTAAAGGGAGGTAGAAATGTAGCCGTGTTAGTCTGGTGCAGTTGAAACAAAAACCAGGACTGTGTAGCACTTTAAAGACTAACAGGATGGTTTAATAGGTGATGAGCTTTCGTGGGCCAGACTTTTCTTCCACTATTTGATCAGAGGAAGTGGGTCTGGCCCACGAAAGCTCATCACCTATTAAACCATCTTGTTAGTCTTTAAAGTGCTACACAGTCCTGGTTTTTATTTAAAGGGAGGGGAATTGATAATTGAGCATGCTCTGCTTCTGACTTACTCTGTGATCTTGGGCAACTTCCCCCACGGCCACTTGGTGATAACAAGCCTCACTTACCTGTCATGCAGGGAAGTCGTGAGGATATTAGTACAGGGCTTATGGGAAGGTTACACACCCTGAGGGGTGCAGCGTTAACTGTGGCTGCCCCTGAATCTAGCCAAAATTTGAAATGGCTTTAGGTCTAAGAAGTGTTTTGCAAATATTCTCTTACTCAGGGCTAAATCCCCAGCTACCTCTTCAAGCATCAGCACATAGAATAGCATCAGTACGTTGGAAGTATCACACGGAATCAGACCAGTTGTCTGTCTCCAGCAGCACGGTGAAAGGCACCCTGCACAAACGCCGTCCCATGGGTCCTGAAGCACTGAGGCTGGAGTAATTCCTGGGTCCTAGTTGCGTTGGGGGCAGTGGTGTTCAATTGCTGGTGGATGCACCAGATCCCATCCACACACACACACACACACACACACACACACACACACACACACACACACACACACACACACACACACACACACACACACACAGCTGGATTCCAGAGCAGCGGAATGCCACCAACCATTTCCATTGCTCAAGCAGCAGAACTCACGCCCTCTGGGAGTGGGTAGGATTTTCCCACTTCACAGGAAGGTAGCGCATAAGAGCAGTGTGGCAATGGACTAATTAAACCAGTAAATATTTATTTAACAGGGGACAGCATGCTAGCTAATCATGGCTTTCCTTGAAGGATTCAGTTTGCAGAGCAGATGAAGGCAACTCCAGATCCCCATCTGCTCTTCTGCTTTCCCATTCCTACCCCCTCCCCTCCAACATGGAGAACTGTAGCTCCCGTATGTTAACCCACGGCTCTGATCTGACAGTTCCTAACAAATAACTACAAATAAATTTCCTGTGGAAGAGTCATCTGCACATCCCAGTCTTCCCCCCCGCCCCTCCTCCCAGCCCCAAGCCCCGCTTAATGACATTGTATTTTATTTTCTGTATAACTTCAGTTCCAAATCATTCCCCCCCCTCCATCGAACCACCCTGCTGCGTATGTCTTTTTTATTACACATAACAAAATATGGCAGCTTTAAATGGGGCTGTCATTTTTCTCAGTTTCACTTGGTGTGGTATAATCAAGTATGGATTTTTGACACAGGGACTCTAATGGACTTTCTGACTCATGGGCTGCTGAGAAAGAGTCATTTCCTCCCCTCCCCGCGATCTTTGTCCAGCCATACTCTGGAGAGAATGAACATGAGCTGTAGGCAAGTGTGTTTGAATGAGGAAGGGGCTATTTTTGGTAGGGATCTGGGGGCAGTGGAGCAGGATCGTATTGTCTTACAGCAGGGCCCTATTGTGTTGCATATTGCACAGACACATGGGGAGAGACAGTCCTTACTTCCGAAGACTTACACTCGAACTAGACGGGACAGACAAAGGATGGGAAGGGACGTGACTTGCCCATGATCATCCAGCAGGTCAATGGAAAATGTTAGTAGCCACATTACTTAATGCACGACTGGAAGGTGCTCAGCTAGGGTCTGTCTAGACTCCATGGCTCCGTCGACAGAGCCATGTAGATGGGTTTACTAGGCATAGGATGATGTAGTCTAGACACTCTTTGTCGACAGAAGCTTTGTCGACAGTATCTGTCGAAGCTTCTGTCGACAAAAGCTTGTAGTCTAGACGTACCCTAAGGTGCCACAGGACTCCTTGTCGCATCTACAGTGCAGTTTCTCTCCAGTGATAAACTAAAGAAATTGCCCTGAAGAGGCAAAGTGGCCCAACGTACAGAACAGTGGGCTGAAAATAAAAGGATTCAAGTTCTAGTCCTGTCTCTCCATTATTCTAAAAAGGTTCTTCTACCACTTCCATTGCCATGTCTAGACTACATGGCTCCATTAATGGAGCCATGTAGTCTAGACATGGCAATGGAAGTGGTAGAAGAACCTTTTTAGAATAATGGAGAGACAGGACTAGAACTTGAATCCTTTTATTTTCAGCCCACTGTTCTGTACGTTGGGCCACTTTGCCTCTTCAGGGCAATTTCTTTAGTTTATCACTGGAGAGAAACTGCACTGTAGATGCGACAAGGAGTCCTGTGGCACCTTAGGGTACGTCTAGACTACAAGCTTTTGTCGACAGAAGCTTCGACAGATACTGTCGACAAAGCTTCTGTCGACAAAGAGTGTCTAGACTACATCCAGTTCTGTTGACAAAGCAAGCCGCTTTATCAACATGAGAGCGTAGACGCAAAGGACAGTGTAGATGCAATAACACCTTCTGTCGACAGAACTCTGTCGACAAAAAGCGTTATTCCTCGTAAAATGAGGTTTACAGCCGTCGACAAAACTGCTGAGTCCTGTCAGCGTTATGTCGACAGAACTCAGCGGCAGGTATAGTTTTGTCAACAAAAGTCCACTTTTGTCGACAAAACCCTGTAGTCTAGACACACCCTTATAGACTAACAGATGTATTGGAGCATAAGCTTTCGTGGGCAAAGACCCACTTCGTCAGATGCATGTAGTGGAAATTTCCAGAGGCAGGAATAAATATGCCGGCCAGAATAAGGCTAGAGATAACGAGGTTAATTCAGTCAGGGAGGGTGAGGCCCACTTCTAGTAGCTGATGTGGAGGTGTGAACACTAAGAGAAGAGAAACTGCTTTTGTACTTGGCTAGCCATTCACAGTCTTTGTTTAATCCTAAACGTTGGTGTCAAATTTGCAGATGACCTGTAGCTCAGCAGTTTCTCTTTGAAGTCTAGTCTTGAAGTTTTTTTGCTGCAGGATGGCTACCTTTAAATGTGCTACTGTTTGTCCAGGGAGACTGAAGTGTTCTCCTACAGGTTTTTGTAAATTGCCATTCCGAATATCTGATCTGTGTCCATTTATTCTTTTACGTAGGGACTGTCCAGTTTGGCCGATGTATATAGCAGAGGGGCATTGCTGGCACATGATGGCGTATATTCCATTGGTAGATGTGCAGGTGAATGAATGATGGTGTGGCTGATCTGGTTAGGTCCTGTGATGGTGTCGCGGGTGTAGATGTGTGGGCAGAGTTGGCACCGAGGTTTGTTGCAGGGATTGGTTCCTGAGTTAGAGTATCTGTGGTTGCTGGTGAGAATTTGCTTCAGATTGGTGGGCTGTCTGTGGGCGAGGACTGGCCTGCCTCCCAAGGCCTGTGAAAGTGAGGGATCATGCTCTGTAGATGATGCAGGGAGGTATGCATGGCTCTCCTTGGTTCTGAGCCGGGAATCACTCCCAGGGTTACCATTCCTGCCTTCCTTGGTGTGTTGTGCCAGCCGGTGGGAGCGTTAGTTTACAGTTGAGGCTACGAGAACCGCACTGGCTGGTGAAAGCGCAATCAGCACAACTCCTAGCTTGTTCTGGCTTCACCCCCTATCCCTGTGCTTTGTGCCCCCGGCATTCCCAGTGCAGTGGGAAGCTGAGATCTCTACAGTGCAACCTCCTGGCCCTTGTGCACTGAATGTGGCACCAGCTTGGGAGTGGCCTGTTCCTACCAGCTTTCTGCTGATTTTCAGTGTCATTCCAGGGCTGGTCCCATAGACCAGCTGGTGGGGAAGTGAAGCGTGAGCTCTGGACTACGAAGTGTGCAGTGTGATAGATTCTGCCTCGCCTAGTCACTAGCAGAGCTGTGCAAAATATGACATCTGGATTCCAGGGTGGGAAGGGCGGTGTAGCCCACTGCGGAGCGTGTGGGAGATCCCTTCTCGATGCCTGATCCAAAGGAGCTAAGTCAGCTACAGCCCCATCTGGGGAGCTCTGGTGCCCACAACAGCTCATGCTTTTAGCTCCGCAGCTCCCCAGGTCAGTCCTCAGCATAGCTGCTGTCACATGTGCAAACGTGTTGGCTTTGACTTGGCGCAGAGATCAAGCGGCCGGGCGAGCTTATGAAGAAAAACAAAGTGTCCCCTCCCAACAAGGTAAAAGAAAGAGAATTTATTATTCCTCATTACGTTGGTGAAAGGACCAAAAAAATGTCCCACAGAGAAGGTGTTACTCTAGGCCACAATCACATAATAGCCAAGTCTGAACAAGACTTCCTTCTAGCTAAGTCTCCCTTTTCCAGAGATGCTGGTTGCTTATTTCAATCTGGGTTTTTGTGCCTCAAGCTCTAACCTGCTGCACCTATGCTGACTGCAGAGTTTGCCCAGGCTGGTTCTTCCAATCTGTAATAGCAGCATCTAGCAGCTGTAGCTTTGGCACAGTGATATAAGTGTAAACCACTGGTCAGCATGTTAGCACCTCCCCATTGTTTCTGTTTCACAGATGTGCGTCTGTTACATCCCTGAGTGCCTGGTTCCTGAGTCTCTAGCAGCTTGAGCTAATATATTTAGTTCTAGGGGTCCCCAGTTCATTTCAAATGTCAGCTGTCACACTCCTCCTCCTCGCCGAGGAAAGATGTAAAGATGGGCAGACTGCTACAATGGGTAATGAAGGGAAGCAAGAGGAACAAAAGATGAATGCATCTGTTTCATGGTTCATTCCTGAGCCATTCCTTTGCATATTGAATCAGGTGGTGTTGTTTTTTGGTCCATCCTGACTTGAATTTGGGCCTTGGTTTGTATTATCAGGGTCTTGAGATGTTATGGTAGATCTTGGAAATGGGATTTTGGAACACCACCCAAAAGTAGGGCACAAATTAAGCAAGGCCTTTTTTGCTGAAAAATTAGTGTTATATTTGAGCAACATCCTAAGTGGT